CTGGATATTTGGTAGAGTGACAAGAATTCCAAAACACAACAGAATTAGTAATAAATTCTAAGATGGAAATAACCATTGTGCACTGAATACGTAACTTTACCATTATTCTAAGCTTCTTTTATATCATAATAATGTGACAAAATATTTATTCATGCCTTTGGGGGGTTGAGGCTTCTTTTAAATTGAACAATAAAAAGCATATCAGAGTTTTATGTACTTTTTGCTCACTTTTTAAAAACTTAACCAAGTTAAAATAACCAAGGGTTGGGGTGTAGCTCAGTGGTGGAGCCTAGCATGCACAAGGCCCTGGGTTTAATCCCTAGCATAGTTCAAAACAAAACAAAACAAAAAACCAAGAGCACTTTAACAAGTAAAAGTAAAAACAGTTTCCCTTCTTACGAAAGGAAAAATTGGAAAATCCAGGACAGAAAAGTAGAGAAAGTTACAGAAAGATAAATAGGATCATGCAATTGCTATTATATGACATTATCATTAACTATTATTATTAGGTACTGTGTTCTAGAGTCTGTTGTAAGCATTTAAGACTGGAAAAATTCATTTAATACTTAGAAACACTATGGGCACTGCTGTACCTATTTTATAGATGAAGAAACTGAAGCACAGATAGTTACATATAACTTGCCCAGTGTCACATACTAGCAAGTGACAGAATCCGAATTACCAATTGCCAATGTTAATGTAAAAACAACCATCTGCTTTAGGGATAGCTTCAGCTATCTTAATATAAAAATAGGAAATTTGGGGGGGAGAGGATGTTAAACAGAAAAACTTATTTTATCTCTAAATGTTTTGAAGAATCCCATTATGTGAGTATACATCACAGACACTAAAAACCATCTAGACCTCTAAAAAGGATGTTTGGCCATGAATTTCTCATTAGATGCTTTCCTTCTCCCACATCCACTCCCACTAGTTTTATGCAGCCCCTCTTTCACTCCTTCCCCCTCTTAACAAAATAATACAAATATCTGTTAAATGTATACCACTATAGCTAAGGGTCTGGACTTTAATTCAGGAAAGCAAAAAAGCAGAATCACTTTAAAATAAAGTCATGGCCTTTATGAATTTGTATTCTTGACCTCTTTGAAAATAGTGTTTAGTCTCTAAAACCGTCCCCAAACTCAGCTTCTGTAAAAGTTATACCATACTGATTCCCCAGCATATTTCATATAGGTCCTTATTCCTCTCCTCTGTCTTTTAACATGTGTTTTTCCCTTTGGTCCTTTCAGTGAATCTTTCTTTTCTTTTTTTTCCCCCTAGCACAGGGGATAATGGATCTTTCTTAATGTCAGTTTACTTCTTGACCCAAAGTAAGTATTAGAGTCAAAAAAGACCTACTGGAGTCCTGATCGCTTATGTCTAAATTGTTTAATGACTGACCTGATTATGGTTTATTTTCTTCATTAAGATTAGAACTATACTAATTCAAAGGGCTAATGAAAGATATAATGAGCTAATGTAAAAATTCCTTGAAAAATGCTCATAAAATATTTACTTCTACCTTTTCCCTTTCCATTCAATTCTTTTTCATAAGAAATTGTTGTCTACTCTTACAGATTAAACTATACCCTCTATAGGTAAAACTTCTAAATTTATAGCTTAATAACCTCACTTATTTTTGAAGTGCTATAACCACATTTCTGCTGTGGACCTTTCATGTCCCTGGATTCTGTTAATAATAATTCAATCATTATTTATTTCTTCAAAATCTTTCTCTTTGTAACTTTTTTACTGCTACCATCTTAGTTTACCATTGCCTCAAAGGCCTTCTCAATCCACAGTATACTTTCATGAAAGTTCTACTAAAACTGATTTATTTACCATTTGAATTCATCTTGTATACTCTTGCTTCCAAATATTTACTCATGTCACTTTTTAATCCATAAAATATACTTTTCATACTTAAAAAACATACAAATTTATAAAATATTAAAGTGTGATTTATCTGTCGAATTTGAGTAAATTATAACTTTTTCATAATCTTCTGGAGTGACAGATAATTATTGTCATACCTTGTTATGTACTATTACCCATTTTTTTTTTAACAACACAACTTTCCTTAGTTAGGAATATATGCTTTTTGGAACACTTACTTGTTCCATATGATTTTAGAGAGTTATATAAGGGGGTGGGGGGACAGACTATTTAGCAAATAACGTTTAGAGATGCCAGTTTAAACAGATAAATAGGTTCCCTTATTGTAGAACTCCTTAGAGCTTTAGAAATGCTAAATTATTCGTTTCTCCATCATCATTCTCTGATATGAAGAATTCCTTCTCATCCCATTACAGCTTGAATCCATTCAAAGTTACTACTTCATTTGAACTATGTACACCTTCCTCAATCTTCCTCCAAAAAGGTACACATGCTTCTTTTATTTCATGATCTCTATTTTTAAAATGATACCCAGACCAGATGGTATAAGTAGTATGTCCTAAATTTGGCAATACATACAGGTAGGTAGTAGTATGTTGGGATATGCAAATTTATAGGAAAAATGTGACACATTTTTCTGAAGAGTGAGTTTTCTTTAAATATTTTTTTGGGAAACTTTTATGATATAATAAAAATAAATAAAGTCTTTTTTTTTTAAAGTGAGAACTTCCAGGAATTTCCAGGTTTATTTTTGGGTTCAACACCCTAACCCCTTTGTTAAGTCTACAAATTTCTCTGCCCTAAAGGTACTCCCAGAGAAAAGTTCAAGAAGCACTGATGTAGGCCAATGGAAAGAAAATATAGAAAAGGGGACCACTGCTAAGACAATAGTTCCTCTGTGCCAAGTGCTATACTTGAGTGCTTTACATATATTATCTTTCTTAATGCCTACCATGATACTATAAAAGGCATAATTTCATGAATTTTATAGGAGAGAAACTTCAGAAGAGTTAAGCTGCAAAGCTTACAGTGGTGAAATATTTTATTATGTAACAGAGGGATAAAGAATATATATTTATCACTGAAGTTCTATGATTGATTTCCATAAGAAAAAAATAGCTAGGGCCCACTTTTTGAATTTATCACCAATTTATTTCTTTTACTTTTAATGTAGATCTTGTCCAAAATGAGGTTCATACTTACTAGTAAAAATTTATTAGTAATATTAAATTCCCAGATATTCAGAGTGTTATCATGATCTAAGCTTTAGCCAATGAAACTAGACTTTTAGATGTATAATTGTTATATATTATTTATTCACTAGCATATTTCCAACCAAATAAAAGTAATGCCTACTATCAACTAAGATTTATATGTTATTTATGTTACATGAATAATAGTTCAGAAAGTAAGCCTAAATATGTCAAACTATTTTGAAATTAAAACTTAATTTTTTTCACAGAATACCACCACTTAAATCTACGGCTTGGATCTTTGTATAACTGAAATAAACTAGATAGCTCTTACTTTAACATAACCTAATACATGATATAGAGATTTATCTAATCAATTTAATATATTATCTTTCAGGAATACATGCAATGCATTGAGTAAAAATCCAAATATAAAAAAATATCAAAACACATGCCAAAGAAAAATAACTTGAAAAAGGAATAAATCTGCTTCTAAAAAAAAAAAAACTTGTTTAAAAGTGCCAAAATCAGTCTTTGGTATTATTAATAAGAATCATTGTTTCAGAGATAATAGGACAACATCCTTTGTAAAACACACACACACACACACACACACACACTTCACACTTTTAAGGATAATCAAAAAGGAGCATTAGCTTGTAATGTACACAGTTGTTAGATGTATGTAAATTTAAAAATCTATAATTTTAACTTGCAGGACAACAGTTAAAATAGGACTATTGAATTTAATTTGTTAATTACAGATGACAGAAGCAAGATCTTTTACTAATGATATGTATGACTGTGAGTATAAGTGATTAATATTTTTCACTATATTTTAATATATTAATTCATCCTATTTAAAGGCTTCCTAAACTGAACAAAGTCATAAGTACAGATTTATAGCCAAAGATCTCAAAAATGGAAGGAATAGAAGTTAAAAGATATAATGACAAAATAACAAAACTGTTTTCCCTCTAACTGTAAATTAAAGAAATCTAGTTATGTCTGTAAAGTAATTGCTCTCTGAATAACACGCATTTAAGAAGAGCAACTCAGAGAGATAATAACAGAAAGAACAGGCCCAAGTGAAAATGTCTTTTTCTTTTTTCGAGGTGCTGAATAAATGTCTAAATATTTTATTTTGAAAAATCAAGTTCCCATGTTTGGGACATTCCTAAGTTGTCATGGTTAGCTGAATAATTAAAAAGATAAAACAATTAAGAGCCAGAAAACAGACAGTCTGTTGAGAAATCCAATCTATAAATTCAGTTCCTTTAAGTTGAAAATTACCAAATGATCTGCAAATGTAAGTAAAAAGGGTAAATTACGAATTCAGCCTGAATTTAACTGGGAAAATAGACCCCCCACCCCCCCACAAAAAACCCATAATTAGAGAATAATATCAAGTTTTTTAAAAAAAATCTTTAAACTATGCAAGAACATCCATTTATTTGTAAATATTCCAGTTAATGAAACAGGAAAAGATTTGATTAAGGAAGCATGTTTACAAAGTTCTAGGTTTCCATACTGTAATTTTTCTAAAAAATATTTTATTTATAAGGATATTTCAATAGGAAGTAGGTCTATTCTGGAAACATAATCTTAGAAGAAAAGCAATCTGACCTTCATATTTACATTTAAAAATGAGTTACTAAAAAACAGCTTTCATTGCAATAAATGTTCTCATCCTTTTAAATATGAAGCTATCTTTCAAGATTTAAAATACATATAAATACATAAAGAACACAAGCAAAAATTAAATAAATGTGTCTAATAACAGTTTCTTAATGGCTTCCCTTAAAATGAAGTGTCAAATTTTCTTAGGCTGCATTTCTTCTACAAAGCTCAAAGTAGGCCTTTTAGCTTAAAATCCATGTAACACGCAAATACTCTACTCAGGATACTCACAGCCTTTCATTTTTCTTCCTCATTAGTCAATACTATGTAGTATTTCCCCTTTTCAGGCTTATTTACTGGTTATGTTGCTATCAGACCTGATACATCAGTAATGATCCACTCTTCAAATCTTCTTCAGCTAGCTCTTCACACTGCCCAGAACTTACTGTGCATTACAGGTGACACTTCTTATAACAGATGTTGATTATGGTCCCAATGCACAAGAGGTGCTCCCAAAGGGGCTTAGAACCCCTAACAACATCACCTGCTTCTTTTTGTATCCAGAGAAGCACTGTGGTATTTGTTTTGAACAACTAATGATTTCAAGAAAGATTATACAGACGAGTTCTTTTCATTAGGTTTCTTGACAGAAGCTTTTTTTTTCAAAATACTGCAGCAAACAGAGATTGTAAGATTCCTTTAGGAAAAAAAATATACAATTTTTTTTCCTGTGGCGCAGTTTAATTTACTCTTCTGTTAGAGCAAATTGCTGAAGAACTGGTTCTTAGGTTTCTAATGGCGCAGCGTTAACAGAGTGAATGATTCACGGATGTTCTTCTTAACATTCAGAGTAACACGGAAAGCTAGCAGTGCAGCATAGGTCCAAAGCTGATGAATGGTGCAGTGCTGCTGTTGTCATAGCAACCAAGAGGGGAAAAGCAGCACCATATAAGGAACTGTGACATGGATTCTGGGAAGAATTTATATTAAAAAGCTGTAAGCTCCTCATGCCTTAAAGCTATAAACTACTCTCTTACTGATTTCTCCTCAGGTTTTACTCTTTTGAATTTCTGAATCTGTGCTGTGTGAATACATATTGCAAAATACAGTAAATAAACACTAAAATAAAACTATATAGTGAGGGAATTTAAAAAGTTAATCATACTTTAACAAGCTACTATGTGTCTGGAGTAGCTTCATAATATATTGGGTTAAATACTAAAATTAGTGATATTTTCTTGTATGCTAAGGAACTGTTTAGAATTTGAGAGAGCAGATAATTTAATACTTATGTTAAAACTTATATACCTTTCATTCAGATGATATTCATCATATATACCAAAACTGCAGCATCAACAACTGGCTAATAAAGTAGCAATGATACAAATTTCAGAGAGGCATACTATCTCTAGATGCAGAACCATTCAAAAGACACTAACTTCACTGAAAATGTACATAATCTTCATTCATGATCAAAGAAATCTCTGCATCATCCTCTGCATCATTCTACATCCCATGCTTCTTTTGAACTCCTCTCTCTATTGGGCCTGGAGAACTTTTTCTGGTCCTCTCCTCACCTGCCAGGAATCAAGAAGAGTTTCTTCTCTTTCAGTGGACAGCAGGGGAACTTCCAAAAGAATTCATGGGAGAAAGAAGAGCTAGGGAAGGTGTCAATGCAATCAAACTACTATAATGGTGCTCTCTCTGCAGTATTATAGATATGGCTCTAAAATGACTTGTTCAGAAATAAAATCTTTCATTAGACTCCTGAAGCATGGACCACTTGTGCTATATTATTTCATCTATTTAGACAGGGCAATTCTCATGAACTTGTCCTATTTTGTAGCAGTGTGTATCTTTTCCATTGCAGCTTATTTAATGAAATATTCATAGACAAGATATAGCAAAAAAAATAGGTAAATTTATTACATTGCCCTCTTACATGGGCAGCAGTACCATACTACTACTACTACTACTATTACTACTACTACTACTGCTACTACTACTACTACTACTACTACTAATAATAATAATAATTATTATTATTATTATTATTCTAGTATAATTATGTATTTGTTGGTCAAGAGTTTTGATGCATGAATCTCCATAAATGATAACAAATTCAGTAAAATATGACTAAAAAGAACTGCAATGCAGTGAGAAGGATGTGCATTGGACTAGTCTTCTAACTGCAGTTGTAACAATTGCTTAACTGCTTACTAGACATAAACTTGGGTAAGTCACTGAAACTCACCAACCCTCAGATTATCAGTAAAGTAGAGGTAATAACATTTTCTACCTTCTTCCTAAAGCTATTTTGATTCAAAGACTTGAAATTCTAAAATACTATGCTTACTTTAAATACCTAATTAAGAAAAATAACAGATAAAAATGAGAAATGTATTTCAGAAGAAATCAATAGACACAGAAAATAGTCTGAAAGGTTAAATATTTTTCCAGACTCATTTTTAATGCTTGATTGGATATTTATTTTTTGTTCTCATCATATTTAACACATTTGTCACAACTAGCTTTCCCTTTTTACAATTACTGGCCAGATTTCTATTTCTACAGAGATGTTGTAGACCAGCATTGCAGAATTATTTAAGATTATTCCAAAGCCCAACATGACTTATAAATGTCTTTAATAAATGGCAACAAAGAAGTACAAGTAGTTTCTACAGAGAGGCAATGCTAAATAACATGCAAAGTGATAAAACTGCTTCAAATAATCTTTATGTTTTATCTCACCTAACTGAAACTGTAGGGTAAACATAAAAATAAACATTTTTGCTTGATTTAAAATTTTCATGGTTAGCAAACCTCAGTTCTTTGTTTCTTTAACAATCTAATCTCTTCTATCAAATAACTTTTTAGGATCAAATATTGTCTTGCCCAAACAAGTTATTTTTGAGGAAAACTCTTTTCAGTTGTGATTTTGAGAACAGCAGTAACTCAATGCCTAGGAAAAAGAATGCAAGTTTTTCTTCCATAGCCCTACACCGAAATCATGGTGAGATGATCTAATCTATGCACTAAATGGATTTCAGGATAATTCTGAAAAACTGAAGACTTGAAAAACAAATCATTTTTCACTTAATTTTGTTTGTGCTCTGTAGGAGCTGACTGGGATGAGGATATTGTTAAGAAAATTAAAAAAATATATATGGGTTTTGTTTTGTTTGAAATTAGGTTTAACTTAAAATAAGGGTAGAGAGAGATTTGAGGAGCTAACCTATTCCCTTGGCTACTAATTTTTAATTCCCTTATGATTAATTTATACATATTATAAAACTTATTAAGTTTTTTTGTTTTGTTTTTATTCTCCTTCCAGTCTTCACCCATTATAAGCTTTCTTTAAAGAGTATTCAGCAGTGATAAATGTTTTAGTGCTTAAAGGAGGGTAATTCTTATCATGAGAGGAATATGTGAATTTTCTATTCTTACAGAAGTAAGAAAATAAATGTCCCACTTGTTATGGCAATTCAAGTACTGGCCAGATTTCTATGTGGGTTTGTGCCTTTTCTATGAATAGCTCTAGATCAGGACTTCAACTTGCAACAGTAGATTGATGATTAAGAGGGAAGAAAAAGAAAAATGCTCAGGGGTAGAACATTTGACTGGTGAGTGTGTGTGAAGCTCTCACCAAGGAAGAAAGGAAGGAAAGTATAAAGGATGGATGAAAAAAATCTGTATTTTAAAAATCATATAATGTAGCCCTTATATATAAGCCAACTACTTCAACTGGTGGTCAATAAAAGAGTAACATCTTTATACCTCTGAAGGACAAAGTGGGGACTGTACATATTAAGAAGTAGTATTTCTGTTTAATGAATGCCATGACTGATATTTAAGAGATTTCTTAAGATAATTATCATCATACTCATTATTCACTCGGTGCATCAACTTAACTAAGACCTGAATAAAATTTCCCCAAATGTGTGATGATACCTCTAACTTATAATACAACATTTGAAAAAGATTATAATGTAGCAGGTGGCTCTTTCAGAATGGTTTTATTGATAAGTATGGAATAAAAGGGTTTATTGTGCTATAAGATATAAGTAAGTGAATTTTTCATTCACTTTATTTACATCATTAAATTAATCTGCACTTATAAATTTTACTAAATATTTCCATATATATATATATATACAACTTTTTTAAAAAAATCACTTTCTCTTCCATTAGGTGCAGGGTCTCTGGTTTAATTCTAGTTCCATGATCCACTTTGAGTTTTGTGTACTGTGAAAGATAGGGACTTAATTTCATTGCTGCATAAGGATTTCCAGTTCTGCCAGCACCATTTGTTGAAGAGGCTATCTTTTCTCCAACGTATGCTTTTGGTGCCTTTGTCTAGTATGAGATAACTGTATTTCTGTGGGTTTGTCTCTGTGTCCTCTATTCTGTACCATCAGTCTACAAGTCTATTTTGGTGCCAATATCATGCTGCTTTTATTACTATTGCTCTGTAGTATAGTTTAAGGTCTGGTATAGTGATGCCACCTGCTTAATTGAAATGTATTCTGTTGTCATGTGTAACAAATTAGAATAAATAAATTTTTAAAAAATCACTTTCAGGAACAAAAACGAAGACTTCAGTCAGAAAAGGGAAAACATGGATGGATGTTCAACCAACTTTGGTATAACTCAGAACACTGTTCATTATGTTGTCTGGACAAAATCATCAATAGACTATTAATATCACATAGACAATTCCAAAATGACCATATTTCTAACTTTTTTGAAATTCAGCTAATAACATGAAATAATGACTGACATTCATGATAGGAATGGTATATTTATAAACATAAAGACCAACTAAAATGAAAATGTCTTGTGGAACACTCTGCCTTCTGGTGCTTAAAATTCTTATCAGACAGGGAAGTATTCTATCATGCTATGTGTTATTACTTTTATTGGCTGGATATACCAATTTAGGTCCATAATTTTCTTTCATGAGAAAAAAATATGGTCTAGCAATTTATAAAAATTTCAATTTTTATAATATTAACATACATATTCTTTGTTCAGTTTTATATAATCCCGTAAGTTATATAAATATAACTTACTTCCTTTTTAAAGAGTCACTAAGGATTTCTTTTGAATTGTGGATATTTACTTTCCTTTGTGACTGAAAAGTATTCTCACTGGATAGCATTACTCTTTACATTTAATATTTGATACTTTTTAAACTACTCAAATTACATAGGAGGGAGCAGGAAAGGATAGGGTCAATTAAGCATAAAACTAAGTGTTCCTAGGAACTGTAGCATAAAATCATAGTGAGTTTTCTTTTATTTTTTTCGTGCCAGGATTGAACCCAGGGGTGCTTAACCATGGAGCCAGCCACATCACCAGCCCTTTTCTATATTTTTATTTTAAAGACAGGATCTCACTAAGTTGTTTAGTAACTCTCTAAGCTGCTGAAGCTGGCTTTAAACTTGTGACCCTTCTGCCTCAGCTGCCCAAGCTGTTGAAACTACAGGCATGCACCACAGCATCTAGTCCTAGTGAATATTCAGGGGAAGATAACAGAGTAGCATGGACAATGAGGAATTTTTTTTCCTCTATAATCTTCATACAATTTTTTCCTCTATAATCTTCCATGTTTTTAATTAAAAGTGATATCCAGGCTGGGCTATGGCTTAGCAGTAGGGCACTTGCCTGGCATGTGTGAGCCACTGGGTTTGGTTCTCAGTACTGTATATAAATAAATAAAGGTCTATCAACAATTAAAAAAAATTTAAAGTGATATTCATCTCTTGGAATCATTGCACAATAGTTAAAAAGGATATAAGAGATTATTTGATTGAGTGATGGCCAACTTTTCCAGCTGGTAAGATTCCTTTTATAATATCCTA